TGTTTCTATTGGGGAATCAACTCACTAAGGCTAGAGTTATGACTAGGTCCTATGTCTCATCATTTAAACTTACTTCAACATGTATACCTGAGCAGTACAGTAAAATTCTCTAGATGTTGAGCAAGGACAAGGAGGTGGACATTATGGCTAATGTGGCCACTGCAAGCACAACATATATCATCATAGTGTCTGATGTAGTTAAATGTAACTGAAATTATTGATACTAGTACTTGAAATCATATGGTTCATAATCTTAGTCTAATGAACCAATATACATACCTCAATAATAAGAAAAATATGAAAGTAAACCTACATATATGAGGTTTGAATCCCTAGTTATTGAAGAAAAAATAGTGAGAGATGTTCTGTTTATCCCAGAGTTCAGATACAATATTTTGTCTATCTCACAACTAACAAAGCAGCTAAAGTGTGTTGTGTTACTTCTCTCAGATTTTTGTATCTCTTTAATGAGAGGGTTAAGGTAATTCATAAAAACGATCGAGGACTATACCTACTATATATAGGTATAGTTAAGAGAAACTCTCCATGTTCATCCTGAAAAGAGTCACATTCCTACAGGCTTTGTAGTTTTCTATGAACAATTCATGTGATACTACTAGTGTTATAAGTCTTACTGCTACTGTATGTTCTCTGATTAGTCTATGGCATAAAATACTTAGGCATGACCCTCCAAATTAAGCTTCTTAGTAGAATAAAGTGTCTTTACACCATGCCTTTGAAAGATCATGGTTGTATTGTATGTCATGTTGCTAAATAATCAAGATTACAATATTCCACTAGTTCATGTTCATGTATTCACCTTTCCATTATCTTTAGTTCCTACTTTTGAAATTGTGCATGGCAACGTATAAGGACCCTATATGATTCCTAATTATGATGGTAAAATATATTTCTTAACACTGGTGGATGATATATCTTAATATACGTGTATCTTTTTATGTATAAATTACAAAAAAATTACTTTTAGCGGCATTAAATATTGACACTAATAAAGAGTGCTAAAGTCTTTACCAGCATTAGTTAAGTGTCGTTAGACCCAATTTCGCTGAAGGCTTTAGAGATATATATAAAGAAAACTAATTGCCGATAAAAATAAATATTTTGCGGCATTTTGAGAATTATTTTCCGCGAAGGCTGGCGGCGGTATCGGAACCGGGTGAGCCGGACCGGTAAGTTTCGGAACCGGGACGGAACCAATACTGTTCCGGATTCGGTACTGTGCGAACCGGCACCGTTCTGGAACCGAGACCGGACCGGACCGGTAAACCGGTAAAATTTATCGTGTTCCGTCCCGGTCCAGAAGGGAACCGGTAGTATACCAGACCGGTAATCGGGACGGACCGGAATTAAAAAAATAACTATTTAAAACTTAAAGATTTAATTTTTTAATTGAATATAATTTTTATTATAATAATTAAAAAATTAAAAATTTAAATTTCAAACTTTAAAAGTTAAAAAAATTTAAAAATTTTCAAACTTTAAAGTTATAAAATTTAAATTTCAAACTTTTAAAGTTTGAAATTATTAAATTCAAATTTTTAAATTTAAAATTTTAAAGTTTGGAAATTTAAATTTCAAACTCTTAAAGTTTGAAATTTTTAAATTCAAACTCTTAAAGTTATAAAATTAAAAATTGACAATAATAAAAATTAAATTTAATACAACAATATTAAAAACAAATTAAGGTGAATAACCTATATTTTTATTAATATTTATTTGATATTACAATTACATTTACAAAAATATTAGTAGAGTATTAAAAGATTTAATTATCATCATAGAAAGGACAAAGTGTAGGTTTTAAATATTCAACAGCAGCATTATTATTTGAAACATAATCTAAGGTTATACTACTTATCTTAACACATATTCCATAAATTTGTAAAATATCTAAAATAGTTTGAGCAATATAACTACCGGTTTTTTGCATTTAACAACATAGGTAACCTAAAATTCTTTTTTGCATATACCAATTTTCATCAATCCAATGTGTAGTAATAGTCAAATAATCGTTACCGTTTACACTACGACCCATATCAGAAGTAATAACTATTTTACAAGTATTATAATAAAATAAACAACGAAGATATTAAAAATGTTGTGCATGATAATCAAATACAGCATTTTTATTGTATTTCTAGCAAAACCTTTAAAATTTGGATTATATACAATTTGAATATAATGTATAAAATAGGGATTTTCAGCAAAACTAAATGGCAAACTCATAACACATATCATTTTAGCTAGTTCTTCAAGATCTTTTTCTCTACTATATGAAAGTAGTAAACTAGAGCCAGAAACATTACACGAATTTAATTGTCTTTGTACCATGTTAGAGCCGCCTACTCCAACATTTTCAGGAAGGGGGTACCTTTTTTTAGCTTCCGCTACCGCTTTAGCATGCAAAAATTCATTTTTACAACAAGATATTAAATGACTACTCAAATGTCTTGTCCCACCAGATTTACCAACAATTTTATGATTTTATCTATGTTTACATTTATTACAAATAGCTTGTGTTTTATCTTTGTTTTGTGTCATAAATTGCCAAACAATCAATTTTTTAGCACAAACTACCTTCGACCTAGGATGTAGGGGGGGGGGGGGAACAGGGGCAGGACAACGAAAGGGAGCGGGATTGAGAGTATTAGTAGCCGTAAGTGGCTCAGTTTCATCATCATCATCATCAAAAGTAGGCGTATCTATATAATTATCATTATCATTATCATTATCACTAGGCAAATCCTCATAAAAATTACCAAAGCAACGTTGTAAATGTTTATGATAAGTATCTAATCCTGAATTACTATCAATATTAAAAACCGTATCATCAACATGTGTATAATCATTCGTATTTATTCTTAATATAGTAGATTTTTTAGTTTTTGATTTAGAAGAACTACCGATTTTTGCATTATCGGAGGATGTAAAGTTACACATATTTTTTACACGCTCTAATGCACTTTTCCCCCCTTTCCTTTTTAAATAATATTTTTACTGAAATTCATATTAAAATATTAAACGTGAGATTATATATAATACGAAAAATGTAATGCAAATAATAAATCACAAAATAAATAAATAATTATTTAAATATAAATGAAATGTAAAATAAAAGTTGGAACGAATGTACCGAATGTACCGAATGTCTACTTAAAAAAGTAGACGTTTATGACTGCCGAAAGCCGAACGTGGAATGTTGAAAGTTGAAGCTCCAAATCCAATTTTCAAAGACCAAATAAGGCAACACCAGAATTTAAGATATTATATATTAGAGAATTAGAGATTAGAGAGTAGAGACTAGAGAGTTGAGAGAGTAGAAAATGAATAGATGATTATGTGATTTAAAAGAATGAAGTTTAGGGGTATTTATAAGTAAAAAAAATGGGTTAAAGTGTAATTTTTAAAACTTTAGGGTATTAAAAAGTTTGGGTTGGGGTAGGACTCCTATTGGCTGAAATTTGGATCAAATAGTCGTTGGGGGCCCGCTAGCCGTTACCCAACAGCTATAAACGGATATATTTTTTTTTAAAAATAAAAATTGATCGGACCGGACCGGACCGATAACGGACAGATAATTTTCAGAACCGGGAGGGACCGGTAAAACTCGGTTTCCGTCCCGTTAGCTGTCTCGGAACCGGAACGAACCGGTCTATACCGCGATTAACCGATACCAAACCGGTATTGGACCGGACCGAGACGACCGAATCGGTAACCGAGAATTACCGATTCTGCTGCCAGACATAATTATCGCTAATGATCATTTTTGATGTAGTAATACCAAATTTGATTCTTTTATTGTCTTAAAAGAGTTTCTATGTATAGTGAAAACACTGTTGGGAATAGGTGTATAACTTATTTAGAACTGACAATGGAACTAAATTCTTTAACTCTCAAGTAGTTGATATGTTCAAAGAAAATGGGATTCTCCATCAAAGATGTTTTTTCTGTTCCCCTCAACAAATGGAGTGGTTGAGAGAAGACATACACCAGTCCCTCACATGGCTAGAGCACTAAGACTTCAAGCTTGTGTACCACTAAAATTTTAGGATTTTTGTGTCTCCACACTCCACAACAGTTTGTATTCTGAACATACTGTGTTGTTGAAGGATAACTCACCATTTGAAAAAATTATTTGGCTCTATATGATATGCTATTGATCCAAAAAATTATTGAATTAATTCCAAATAATGGGATATATCGAATAGCAAAAACTATAACTACCACTTAAAAGTTAAAATTCATTCAAGGAGATGTTGACACCCACTCTAAAAAACCACATATTGGGACCTTTTCTTCCCACTTTCTCTTTCTAGAAACCTCAAATGAAAAATTAGAAAAATTCCGGCTAAACAAATGGAGTAAGAAATTTGCATAACTTTATACTGCTAGTTTTAATTAAAAAAGAATGATCTATTTTACATATCAATCTGATTCTTTATTCCTCTGTTTCAAAAGAAAAATATCTAATTTCTTGTTTAGTAATATTTTAATTTCAATTTTTTTACGTGATATGTTACAGGCCACAAGATTGAATGACATATTTGTACATTTGAAGATAACTTTAATTTTTAATCACAAGATTAAAAAATCTTACCTCATCTTTTTAAAAATAATGATCTAGTTTGACTTGAAACGAAGTTTAAGAAAAGAAAAGAAAGTGTTGTATCAAATGTACTAAAATGTCCTTTAGTTTTATGGCTTTAAACATGTCAGGTGAAAAATTAAAATTAAAGTGTTGCTAAAAAAGAAAATTGATCATATTTTTTTGAAATAGACTAAAAAGGAAACTAGATCACTTTTTTTTAAATAGAGAGAATATTTATTTTCTTAAGTTTCATGTCAAATCAAACTATATCATCTTTTTTGAAATAGAGGAAGTATATGTTTACGTGACTGTAAATTATTTTATTAAAAAATAAAATTAATATTTTAAAGTTATATTAAATATTGGTTTGCTCCCTATTTATAGTGATATTTCCTTCACCTCACTATATACTATCCAAATACAATGGGTTCTATTCCTCATGTAGTAGAAGATTGCTTAGGTATTCTTCAAGTTTACAGTGACGGATCCATTTTTCGATTAAGCGATGACCAAATCGACTTCCATAACTTTCCCATCAAAGACGATGGTTCAGTCATATGGAAAGACATCATTTATAACAATCAAAACAAAGATGGAAAAGACAGTCTATATCTCCGTCTTTACAAGCCGAAATGTATGGCAAAAAAACAGTTACCAATCATTTACTTCTTTCACGGTGGAGGTTTCTGTGTAGGTTCACGTGTTTGGCCTAATTGTCATAGTTGTTGCATACGTCTATCATCTGAGCTCGAAGCACTTGTTATTGCTCCTGACTATAGTCTAGCCCCTGAATATCGCCTTCCTGCAGCCATGGATGATGCATTTACATCCATCAAATGGCTACAGGATCTGGCGCTGTCAAATAAAATTACTTATGATGATTCATGGATAAATCATGATTATGATAGGGTTTATGTGATTGGTGACTCGTCTGGTGGTAACATCGCGCATCATTTGGCGTTGAGGCTTGGGGTTGGTTCACCTGAACTTTCACCGGTTAGAGTACGTGGTTATGTTCTAATGGCACCATTTTTTGGAGGAAGTGTAAGGACTAAGTCTGAAGAAGAAGGACCTGATGAACCTTTTTTGAATATGCAAATTCTTGACAGGTACGTATGTCTAATCAATATGCTCTTTAATGGATATCTCGAGTTTGAATCTCCTTGAATACGGAATAACCGCACTTTAGAACGAACATCCAATAAGAAATTAAATATAATTAAAAATCAATATACATTTAGTTATGGAACCCCTAAAAAACTTCTAAAAAATATTCTAGTTTTGGCTTCTGTACTGTCTAATGGTATATTTTAAAGGTGTATATGTGCCTACGTGAACACATTAATATTTATAATATTTATGTGGACATATATATACCTTTAAAATAGACTATTAAATAGTAAAAAATATAAAAAGTAATTTTTCAAAATTTGAATATATTTCAGACTTTCTTCGCTAAAAAACAACAACTTATAGATTTAATATAATTTTCATGTATAATTATTAGATTTCCGATAACCCTCACTCGCTACCGTAGATCCACACCCGTTTTGCATGGTGATGTTTTATTATTGTTGTAAACAAAACAAATACTCTAAGCATCGATTACAAATTTTCCAATAAATACGTACTGGTACACTAATATATTTAATTCAACAATAAAAATTGGGACTCATCTGACATGCCTTCTAAATTTCGAGTGAGAACAACTTTCTTTTCTATTTTCTCAAATTATTATGTAGTTTAATTTGATCCAAAATCTATATAATTAAGCAAATACGTTTTTCTATATAGTTGAAATCCAATGATTAATTTACTAACTAATCTGTGTAGAATTTTTGACAGACGATAAGATGAAGGATTCACAACAAATTTATTAATTAGTAGTGGCTATATATTTACATCAATCCTTCTATAGAATTAACTTTTAAGAACCACCAAGGGTTATGACGATGGTAAAGATTTTTTCATTTCTAATTAGAAGTCTCGAATTTGAATTTTTCAGTATATGAAATCACATTTGTTAAAGAGTGTTTTACCTCAAGTTTAAGTATATATTCGATTCTATGAAGAAAAATTCAAAAAACTCTGTAAAAAATTAATGATAATAACAAAAGATGATGTAATATAATATTTTTTAAAGTAAACTAAAATCAACTTGAGTGATCTTATGGAGGGAGTGGGAGGGAAAGGGTCGAAGAAACTTCATCAAGTGCAATGATGATAAATAAATAAATTATTGAATAGATGCAAAGAGTGTGAATGGGATCATAGGATCTTTAGAATGAAAATGACTTAAACTTTATTTATTTATTTATTTTTACTGGTGTATTCTTTTCTCCATTTTGTATTAATTGATCATCTTATAAATATATTAATTGATCGTCTTACTAAATATAATTATCTCATATTAATTACCCATTTTACTAAATTAAGAAATCATTAATTAAATATTTCATATATTACCTTTGCAATTAATTTCTTTCCTAAATGTTCACATCTATTTATAAGATTTCTAAGATTTTTAAAAAAGTGAAATGGTAGAATTTTCTTCTTATCTATAACTTTTAATATGTGTAAAAAATAATTAACTAATATAAAATCGAAAATTATGATAAGGACATAATTATTTTAGTGGGATTAAGACAATGCATGGAGATAATGTTAAAATTAGAGTCATGGTTGGCTAGCTTATGGTGTTGAGGAAAAGGCAACTAGAGACCACATATATTCACATTTCCAACTTTTAAATCTTAGTTTTATGAGTAGTCGAGAGATGCTACTTTCTTGGAATATACGTGGTACCCCATGTTTGGATTTGATTTTTTTTTTTTTATAAAAAAAATTCTGTTTAAGAAAGAAGAAAATATTACAAACATCTCTAATATCAATTATTAGTTTCCATCTTTAAATTTTTGACACTTGACTGTTTAAAAACTATCTTTTTATTTGATTAACTGAATTTAAATGAATCATGTCGAATATGAATGTAATACACTTTTAAATTTTCACAAGTTTAATTTAAGGGTGTGTTTTTAATATTTTTCTCAATTTTTTATTAGGAGCTACGTACTCGATCACTTGTTATGTCATGTGACGAATGAAATGAGTATCTAATTATGATTAGTTAGTCAAGTAGATGAACTTTTTAAAACTGTCGATAATTTTAAAAAGAAGCTAATAATTTGCTTCAAGTTAAAATCTTTTCTAAATATTTATCTTTTTCTAAAAATAGGTTTTAAATAATTTAAAAATAATATTCATAATTTACGTCAAGTTTAAAGATTTTCTCAATAGTTGTAAAAACATGTTTTAATAAAATTAAAACCCACTTTATATATTTTGCTTTATAAATAACAGGCTATATGCAACTCTTTTTTTTTTTAATGGTTTCTATTTTTTTTAAAAATAAGTGCTTATGTGGTGGAGTAGCACTATACCAAAAATAGTTTTTGGCAGCATTACTTACACATATCAATAAAGATTGTTAAGAAATTTTGTTAGCAATAATTAAATGTGATTAAATTTAATGTTGAGGAACATCTATAAATAAAGTTAATTATCATTAAAAATACATATTTAATGATAATTATATTATTACACTTAGTTAATTATTATTAAAAATTATTTTTAGTATAGTATAAATTATTTTAAAATAAAATATATTACTTTTAGAAAGCTTGATCAAACAATATTATTGCTAGAATAATTTTTTTTTAAAAAATAATTGATCAAATACAAATTATTTCTCCAAAGTATCTTGAAAGATAAATATTTTATAAATAAGTTGATTTGAATAGGTTATTTCAGTTTATTTTGTAAGTAGTACTTGTATTATCATGAAAATTTTAATTGTATCAACAATGTGGAAAACAACAAAAACCTTATTTTCACTTTCACTTTTTTTTTATTTTCTAATTTGTTTTGTTTGAAAAGATCTTAGATTTTTATTTATAAAATAACCTCATTTAAATCATATTCTATGTTTTAATGATATTTTATGTATATTTAAAATACATCTAAATTATAAATATTAACTACAAAAATTATGGCCAAACATGACCAATTCAACTTCAACTTCAACTTTGAGATTTCAAATAAAATAAAATTTATTTTAATTTTCATGGACAAACATGTAGAATTGTTTACTTTTTTTTTAGATATTCAAACGTAATTACGTATAATATTAACTCCCCAATCAAGGCAATTGTGTTCACTCCAAAGTATAATATAGACAAAATCATATTTTATATAAAAGTAAAGAAAAATAATTATGACTTCGTGAAGTGATTGCAAGAAATATTTCTTTGCGGAGGAAAGAAAAATTTCTCTTACTTATAATTTTATCTAAATAGAAAATTTAGTAACAAGATTAACTAAAACTATCAAATTCATATAAAGAATTAAATTAAAAAATATCAACTGCTCATATTCAGAATTCCATCTCTATCGAATTTGAAGTAAAATGTTCACTTTCTCATATGACTAGATAATCACAAAGAAGAAACAATTTTTTTTTTGGGGGTAAATATAATATTATCTAAATTTGGCAAGCCTTCATGCGTCTTACTAAAGGATATCCACTTTTACAAGATTTGGTAGGACCAAGTTCACCACATATATATTAATTTACTAATTGTATATATCTATATATAATTAGGTTTACAATATGACAAATCCATTATTGTATTGGATTTGGATGATGAAGTATGATTCTGTACTCATCAATTGTTAGATAATTTCATGCTTTAAGTGTATGATTAAATGCATGTCACTATCTCTAACTTAATTATAATAAAAATAAATAATAAAGGTAACTTAATTAGTGAAATCTTAGTGGTTTAAGAGTTGATTATTTATAAACATGTTAATTTGTAACATTTTAAGTCTTACAAAATTTTGGTATTCTACCTGGCGTGTCTAGAGTCGTCTTGCAGATGCATTGAGTCAAAATTATGTCTAATTTGTTCGAGATACACTGTATCAAAGTGAATTGCATATATCTGACTATCTCGCTCGTCTTATGCTATTTCTCTCACCTCTCTCCCTATATTCGGTATCACAGATACATGTATATATCTAGTGTGAATCATCTGTATTTGGAAATCTTGCCACCTCCCTCCTATGTCATTTCTCTCTCTCCTCGTCATGCTCACCTCTTGATCTCTATTATAGTGTGTCGGGTAGAAAAATATATATATCTAACTTAAATTTGATATTAAATTATTAATTAGTGAGATATCATTATTTCAAATTATAGAGATAATTAGTATATATGATAGAAATTTAGTGTAACTTTTTTCTAATAATTATGACAATAATAACAACAATTTTCATTATTATTGGGTGAGCACCAAATTTCATATTATATCGATGAAACATAATAAATATAGTAGTTTATATTAATTCAAAATGTCGTGAAGAGTTAGTTTTTCAATGAATTTAATGCATATCTATTGGAAAAATGAAAGCCTACTCACTTAATTTGTTTAATATTTTTAAAATTTGGGTGGATTAGCTCACATGTTAAAAATGAGTTGATATATAGCTTAAATTAACTCAATATATTATTTGTCAAAATTTTTTGTAAAAAATATTTTTGTTTGATATGTTATATAGAATCATAATAGAGAAAAAATAATTTATTTGTACTAAAAATTTATAAAAGAATGAAGAAAGCAATTAAAACATAGTAAGAATTAGGAGGGTTGAATTATAACCTGCATTACAGCCAATCCATATCAACTCAAATAACTTTTTGGTGGACCAATAACCTGGTCAATTATTAGCTTTATTAATCTTAATTTATCAAATTAAACTCAACTCATCCATTTAACTGTCACAATCTATTTTATAAGATCATGCATACACTTACTCGATTCTAATTCAATAGCCGAACCTATACCATCCTTCCCCTTGTTATATATTTTTTAAAGAAGATATATACGAGATAAACATATCTCAAAAATCATAAAGAAACACCCACTTTCATGTGCATAAAAGAAAGTTTTTTGATATTTCTTAATAATCTAATCTGAACATGTATAAGAGCTTCTACATAAAATACAATCAGAAAATAAAAGATACAACTTCACCTTGAGGAAAGAGT